GTAAATTGAGGCAGATACCTAGCCGTCATGGATAGAACAGACTGGGAAAAGATGTTAGTTCAGGGAAGGAGGCAGAGGGTAAACCAACGCAGTGCGTTTGGCGTGTAGGCTTCTATAGGAGCAAGATTAGTACCAGACCACGCCACCTGGCATCTGAGCGAGGCTCAGAACAAGCCTCAAATTCCTGGGTGAGTCTTGTCTTGAAACTAGGAATGGCAGAGCGTGCAGATATAAAGCTTTAATGAGCTCCATACCCCACCTGTACTCTCTTCATTTACTAATCTGGTCATTCTAATGGCTATAATAATGGATCATAGATGTGTGATATCATTGCTTAGCTATTTTTGTTAGTGAAAGTCTTGAAGCTTTCCTCAGATCGCAAGTGTTCTGACATTTCCATGAATTATAATTTTTCACACCAAACGGAATTATAATTTTTCACACCTCACGGCTTCTCGTGACACATCCTTTTGGTCTCTCCACACTACTTTTTCCCTTACAGCCCACCAGCCTTTGGTCCCTTTTGTAAATCTCTAGGCCTTTGAAGGACTCCTTCCCGAATTTCTACATATTTAACTTAACACTCAAGTTCGTGTCCAACACCACCTGTTCCAGGAAGCCTCTCCAATCACCCAGCTCTGCCCCAAGTCATTTGTGGGACACAGGTGCTAAGGGGTTAAAGAAAGGTTTTGGTCTTTGGTTCATTTGGGTTTGGTTCATGTCCCAGGAATTGAAACTTTTCCTCTTTGTAGGAGGATGACTTTTCTCTCGGTGGCTACAGAATTGAGTAGGCAACTACTTTTAAAGACAAGTTCACTAATTTCCATAATTGACATGTCTAAAAAGATAAAGGATGAAAATTTGGAATAGAAGAGTTAATGAAAAATGTTGTAAGTTGAATGTAGCTTTCCATTAAGGTAGTCTATTGTGAGCAGTTTTAATACTCACTACGTCTATCTCGTCTCTCTCTTCTTCACTTTCTCCCTGAGCATCCATTGTGGGAGGCACTACGTGGGATTAGTGCTCATCTGCTCTGCAAGGAAGGAGAAAGGGAGGCTAGAGCAGTGGGGGGTGATTTCCCCAAAATTATAACACTGATCAATAGGAGAGCTGGGGTTAGATTTTTGATGTGTCTGATTCCAAAGCCCAGGCTCATTGTAACACGAAATTATATATATATCTCAAATACGATTCTTAATTACTTCTAATAATCTCTCTCTATATATATAAGAAATA